AGGCTTGCTTGAAGAGCCCAAATCCCCCTCTTACAAAACGCACCATTTAGGTGCCCTGGGAAGAGAACTTGCTCTTGTTAAAATGGCATCGTTCCAAGCTTCCCCTTCAGCATCAAACTACCATCAACAAAACGATGCCATGTTGCCCACTTATTGTATAAACCTTTTTTTTTCTTTTTCTTCATTTTCCCTTTCCACTTTCTCTTTCTAGCGGCCACTCTCTCTGACTTCACTTTAAAACTTGCAACTTTTCCTCTCCCTCTCAAGCTTTAACCATCGTCAATCCCTAAAACCTCTTTTGCTTCCCGAAAATCTCTTTTCTCCTTCAATCTAGTTTCGAAAGCCACCAAATCCAAAACCTAAACTCTGCAAAACCATGAAAATCCCAAAAGAAAGAAGGAGAAAAAAGAAATCCCCCGATCCTACTGTCTTTTTTTTGTTTTTTTGGTTGTTTTTGCCTTTTTGGGTTTCGTTTTTTTTTTTTTTTTGTGTTTAGTTTTTTATTGTTGGCCAGGAATGTCATTGGGTAGAAAACTAGGGTATTTTGGTTCTTGTTTTCTTAAGGATTTTTAGACTTCTAACAAGGGTTTTCAAGGTTTCGCTAGGCTAGGTTCTTTAAAAATGGGATTTTTGGCTATTGGTGTTTTTCATTTCCAAGGTTCTTGTTGAAATCTGGCCTCCCCCTTTTACCAAACACTTTGAGGGTTTTTATAGAACTTGGACAATCAGAAAGTTCATAGGTGAGGAGGTCCAAGTCAAAGAAAATTCATGGGTGGCAGTCGAAGGGCATTAAATGCACTGTGCAGGTTGTTTCCTGAATGTGTTGACTGTAGAGGCCAACCATGCGTTTCAACTTTTTTAACAGTGATTTATTTATTTTATTATTATTTTTTATTTTAGATCCTTGGGTCAAAAATAAAAGTAAAAAAATGGATGTCTATAGGTGGGTGTTAAGCAAAAAACAAAATGAATGACTAGTTGACTAGTTGACCAACGAATGCAATGATGTGAACAACGCCAAATATAGCATTTTCTATTGAAAAATTGAGTAGGTACATGATTAATTCAAGCAAGTTGCATTGACAAGTAGCAGAGTATTTGGATTGACAAGAAGCAGAGTATTTGGATTCTTAGAAGAAAATAATCAATTATAATCTTTACTGTAATAGATATCCATAAATACTATAAAGATATTTAAATGTTAGTTGGATTATAAATTTGGAAGATAATGTTCTTATAAGTTGGTCGATCTTCATGTCTGGTGGGAGAGATTTTTTTGCAGTTTCAAGAAACAAACATGTATTATGGATTTTTTTATGACGATCAAATTTATTACATTGATTGTTGCCACTAAAAAAGGCGAATGGCTAAGAAACTTATCATATGGTTTACCTTTGTGACTTAAACTAATTTTCTTTAATATTAATTTATTGTGATAGTGAAGCAAACTCTAGCAAGAGAATGTAACCCAGTACATAATGAAAAGTCTAAAAAAATAGAGTGATCACTATAATCATTGTGAGATCAAGTGAAACTATGATGGATCTTTTAACAAAAAGTCTAAAGATATTATAAATAAGACCTTAAAAGGAATGACATTTAATCTCATAAATTATAGTCAACTATGGTACAAACTTGAACCAACACTTGGTATAACATCAAGTCTAGAGTTCAATGAGACAAAGTATATCATTTGTATGTATCTAATAACACTGTAAATATGATGTATTATATTTCATCCTAAGTACAGTGCTAAACCCAAAACATATATTTGTTAGATTGCTATAGTTACGAGGCATTCTTAATGGGATCCAACTATGTGAGTTTGAAATGTGATTATTGTAAAGAACTTGGCTCTAATAGCACTCATGAAAAAGGGATGCAGAAACATGATCATAAAAGTGTCACCAGATATTGGTGTATTCATTAGGTGTTGAAATCATTGTGTGAGAAGTATTTGGTTAATTAAATGGAATATCTAGTTTAGATCATAGCCTACCATGTAATTTTAGTTAAGTTTAACATGTTTGCACTAAGCAAAGGTTCAATTGGAAGATACTTTTATTTATGCAATTGATTTCCAAGATTATCAAAAATCTGGATTATTTTGAAAATGGTGGGAGATTGTTGGACATTTTCAACAATAATAGTGTGGGACATAATCCCACATTGAAAAAAACAAAAGAAGAAAGTCCTTTGAATAATTATATTTGTTCAAAAATTATGTCTGTTTAAATATTTGCAATTACTTTCTCCATCTTCTCTAAATTTTTTCAAATTACTTCTAAATTGTTTTGCTATAGAAAAAATTTATGAGAGTTTAATAATCTTGTCATACACTATAAAGTGTTTAGTGAATTAATTTCGTTAGTTAAAAATACAGTCAATCATTAGATTTCATTTTATCTTTGAGATTTTATTGTTCGCAATCTTTTTACACACTAACGACTAGACATTTTAAAATCTTTTTCTAATTGTTAGCATAGTAAGCTCGATGCAATAAATATCAAGATGAAGGTGAATTGGTAATTTAAAAATTTTCTATGCGAGCTCAATGAAGAATAACCCTTTTTTTTAAAAAAAAATAAATTTTCTTCTTGTGTCCAAAGCAAAGTGATTTCTTTAAAGCAAATGTTAACAACAAATCACAAAGCATAAAAAAAAAAAAACAAGACAAAAGGATTTTGATGGTGGTTAGACTTTCTCAAGTACCTACATCCACTCCTTTAGCTCATTAAAGAATTTCCAATTCACTAAAAGATTATTACTTTTTAATGGGATCAAATGATAACCTTTACATTGCCATTTGAACGAGATCAAGCGATAACCTTTATAATGATTTTTTTACGAGATCAAGTGATAACCTTTACATTTACTTTTTAATGAGATCAAGAAATAACCCTTACACCAACTTGTTAATAGGATCAATCGATAACCCACACACTAACTTTTCAAAGTTAAATTAGAACCTTTACAAATGTGTGCACATAAAAGTAATAGCAAAGATATGCCTTACAAAGGCTTAATGCTAAACGTTTAGGCTTCGGTGTACAAAGAAAATAAATGATCTCACAAATATCAACTCAATGATTTGCAAGTAATTGAGCTTGAATGGCTTTGAATACTTGGTGGAAGGCTAAAATGAAGTCTAAAGAGGTATAAAGATGAATAAGGTTTCTCTCTAGGGATTTCCAAACAAAGTGTTGGCCTTCTTTTGCTTCAAAATGAGTCAAAGGTGGCTTTTTATAATTTCAAAGATGTTTGAAGCCGTTAGACACAAGTTTGAATCAGATCCAATAGTTGCTGTGCTTGTAGGTGCCTACCATGCTCTTAAGGTCGACTATTGTTCCTTAAAATCTTAAATTAGGGCTTCTATTCTCAACTCTTAAGGTCTTTTACTTGATCCATTTCCAAAAGCTTGTGATTTTTGAAGTCTAGCTTGGTGTAATCACCTATAGATGCTTGGGGTCAACTATGGCTTCTCAAATCATTGATTCTTGAGAGTGGTCTACCTCAAGGTCCACTATAGCTTCATCAAGGTCGACTAGCTGCTCAAATCTCGAATTGTGCTTGCATTCTGTCTCAAGGTCGACTGTAGATTCTATAAGGTCGACTATGGCTTCGTGTCTTTGTGATTTCATCCATCTTGCCATTGGGTCAACTATGGAGCTTATAAGGTCGACTCTTGCCTTGTGTCTTCAAGATTCCTTGACTTCTTGGCTTTTCACTTTAGCTATTTCTTCTTTACTTCTTTCCTATGATCAAATATCAATCAAAGCATTTTTGCTCTATATTTATTCAGCTGAAGATTCAATATTTTGAAAAACTTTATGATGTTATCTAATCATGAATGGCTTTTTAAACACTTGAATGATTTTAGGAGGGAGAAAAATATAACCTAGGCAATTTTAAATGCTTGTCATTAAAGTTAAGATGTAATGCAATTTTGTCAAATCAAAACAAAAGATATCTCAATGCTAAGATTAATTTTTTTTGGTTTTTGAATCCCATTCTCTAACATCTGTTCATTGGCAACGATATTATAAATCAAATACAAAATATTTTGGGTATTTGAGATATTGAAGTGGCATTTGGTATCTTAAATATATTAAAAGGTATCCTATAATAATAATAATAATAACAACAACAACCATTATGAAAATGTATAAAAACCACCTTTCAAGGTTTCACCTAGCAATTCATGAAATATCTTATGGACATTATTTCAAGATAAATAGGGATCTAAACAGATATGGTATCTAACTTCGAATTCATTTAATTAGAAGGTAGATGAACTCTATTATAACTTGAATAAAATCACAAAACATTATCCAAAATCAAATCCTAATAATATAACATTATCTGCTAATTACCTGAATCTATTCCATACCCAATTAAAAAACTCAAACATCTTAAATAACTAAAAATCATATAAAAATTAATTTTATATTTATCAATTTACAAAAAAAAAAGTTAGTTAAGATGACAAATGTTGTGTTGAGAAGGTTAGGGGATAAAAATTTGAATTTCACAAATTACAATTTTTAGAAACATTATACATAATATATATATATATATATATAATCGGGTTTAAGGTATCTTAAGGGTGATATCCAAAACCTACCCAAAACTGAGTTAAATATTAGGAAACTCTAAACTTGAACCTGTTTTTTCTATTTAGTTTCAACACCTTTTCATAATAATTGAAGAACCAAAACTATGGGTGCTATAAGAGCATCAGAATCCGTTAGCATGACAACTTTCTTATCCTAGCCTTTTTGGCTGCCATTATGCACTCTTAGGTTGAATTTCGGGTGTGTCCTGTCTTTGCCTTGTACCTTCCATTGTTAACACTCGGGCTGAATTTCAAATGTGTCCTGGTTAAGAGCATTATCATGAGATTATCTTTTCCTTTCCGGAGGCTCATCTTTACATGTACTAACAATAACTTTGTTATATCACAGTACGTTGCATATACTCGAAACAAATTGTAACACTTAAAAATTTTAGCAAAATTATAGTTTTGTTACAAAATTTACTTCTCTAGCCTTTTTCTTTTTCTTGGTCAGATTTATCTTCTGTTCTTGAATTCATGCTTTAACATTGTTTGTTGCCTTTCATCGGTGTGCTTCTTCTGTAAATCCCAGTTGGAAAAGTTTCACAGTGGTTCAACCATGATAGGGTATTTGTTTTTTGGCATACGAACAAGTGTTGGCTGCACAGAATCATCTCTCTTCAGAGGTCTCCACCTGTGATAGAGATTACATTGTTATAATGCAAAGACAACTCTTTAATTAATATAATGAATACTGATTATTCAACTTAAGTTCCATCTCAAATTGCTTCATTAATTATTTACTGCCTTGTGCGATTAAAAGGTTTCTGATATCATCCTGGTAGTCTTCGTTATTAGATCTGTTAGAATATTTTTCCTTTAAGCATTGTATTTCATCTTACTTGTATCTGCAGACCAGGTGATGGATGAAGATAGAGATTTCCAGTTTAGCCAGGTTCATTCCAGGGCACATTCGTGGTCCACTGCCAAATCCCAGAAAGCTGAAAGGCTTTACTGGTGCCTGCAATTGAATAGTAGATTTATCTAAGTATGCATCTGAGAAGAAAACAGAACTTCTACTGTGGATTGCTTACATCGAATCTGGAAGGATCAAAGTTTTGAGGATCAGGGAAAGTCCCCGGGTCGTGGTGTATGGAGACAACATCCAGGTTAACTGACCAACCTTTCTTGATGTTGTAGCCTGGAAATTAAGTCTAATTAGCAGTCTGGTACCAGAGTGACTTTTCTGCAGAAAATATCAGAAACCGACGTTCATTTGGTACAGTCATACTAATACCGTCAATCTCAAAGTCCTGGGCAGCTTTTCTTGAAAACCATGGTAAAATTGTGGCCATTCGGAGAGTTTCACTAATTACCTGAATTTCAATGTGTGAAAGTATTAGTAACAGTGAGCTTGCAAGAAACAGATTTTTAGTATATAACCAAATAACTGTAAGGTTGCTGCTCACTTTGGCGGTGTAAGGCATATTATTAACTTCCAACCATGTAAGATCTGTTCCATCCCTTCTATTTGCTTGAATTCGCCGGTGCTCATCCTGCAAAGCTACCCCCAGATTCTAGTTTAAAAGTTTCAAGTAAAAGAAAATAGGATTAGCATGAGCAACATCAAGTACACATTACTCTAAGCTGTTCCAAAACTGCTGGGTTTTCTCCGAGGAATTTGATGAGCCATGTAAGGGCTGCAGTTGTGGTGTCATGACCTGCAACTAGCAAAGTTAAGATATTGTCCTTCATTTGTTGATCAGTGAGTTTATTTTCATCATCTCCTGTATCCGTTCCCCTGCTGTGTTTCATTATCAAGGATTCTAGGAAGTCTTGTTGGATCACTTCCCCATTTCTTCTCCTAGCTATTATTGAGTCTATCATGGCATACATCCTATCGCGAGCCTAATAAGATGGAAATTTGCATCAGAGAAAATACCAAGAACTCTGTTTATATTCACAAATGCCTCATCTAAAATGTCACAAGCATGTATGATTTTGTCATTCTGGTCCAGAATAAATTTGCTTATGATATGCCATGGCTGAGTTTATAACCTGAAAGAAATGTTACCTTAATACCACAATAAAAAGCTGTTCCTGGGATTTTAAAAGGCAAGGAAGCAAACGAAGAAGAAATAAGTTTGAAATTGGCCCTGAACATTTCCTGCTCCTCACCGCTGGGTTCAAGGCTCATTATCATGTTGCCTATTACTTTGAGAGTGAACTGCAAAACGTCAAGGATTAGTTCTCCTAGATAAAATATATCAAGAAATTTGCTTTAACCATATTGAAAACTCAACTGAAGAAGCCTCGTCAAGGACTAATACTCTTCGGCCAGACCATTGATCTAGCGTTTCAATTGCCTGACTGTTAATAAAGTGGAAGTACTTTTTCAAACCATCGATAGAGAGGGGTTCGGCTATTAGGCGTCTAAGCCGCTTGTGTGCTTCTCCGTTGGCTTGGAGCAAACTGGTTGGACCCAACACCTGCTGCCCTGTATAAAAGAGGTTTAAGCTCACCATCCCATCTTTACCTGTCAATAAAATCTTGCTTGCTTCTCTGCCTGTCATGAAGACAGTGAATCTCCCCAAAACGAAGGTCTTGAACACTTTTCCATATCTGTTGAAGATGTCTATGTAAACCGGTACTTCAAAACATAAAGAATAGTATTTGATTTGGTTAGATACCAAAATTTAGTTAATTACCTCTGCTGCCTCTTGTTCATAAAACTGAATATGCCAGATGGGCTTGAAAAGTCTGACAGAAATGACAAACTTTCACCTATTATAGGCCAACCCAAGCTACCAGGGATCCCTTCCATTTCTTTTGGCGAACTCCAAATATACACTAACCCGAAAGCTGAGCATACAAATATGAACAGGAGAAACATGATCAACAAGATGCTTAGCTCCATTTCAGTCAGTGAGCCAATATTCCACGCGAAATGCACAAGTACCAAAATTGGTATTAAACTTATCAAAGTATATCTGTGTACAGAACTTCAGGTGGTATGATGAGATTTTTCAGGTATATTCTTCAACGTCCTGGTTATTGCTTTAAGCTTGGCTGCGGGAGTATATACAGGACAGATTAATATATAAGGTGATACCTTTGAGATGCGTGATGACAGTCATAGCTTTGTTGCTTTTAACAATTTTAAAATCTATGCAGCAATTGCTTAGCTATGAACGATACTCCAATTAAAACGATTCTTTCTTGCTTTAATCGTTGCAATGTCAGAAATCATGCTTTTCTTATAAGATTTATCAATTCTTCGGTCTGCATCTTCTGAGAGGTTAGCTGCCGTCCCCTTGTTCTTTGATGAACCAATCACTTTTTTTGCGTTAATGGATCTTGTCAGCCGTATAAGGCAATAGGAAAGGTCCAAAAGAAGGAAGAAAACAAATGGTAACTCTGTATACAGCTTAAAAATATCATTTGTTCTTATGGTCATTTCTTTTTCTTTTTTCTTTTTTCCCATATTTAAAGCATATGAAAGCTAATAAACCTGTAGCTCTTGTCTTTTTGCCTCCAATATGCCGCACTAAGTGAGAGAGGCCCACTGAACATTAGCCTCGGCAGTGATCATTTGCATGCCGACCTCAGGATTTTCCTTTATTAGGTGCATTTAACATATCAGTCAAAGTCATTTTCATTCAATGTTAAGAGATAGGGAAGGTAGCAATTCCCTTCTAAAGCACTTTTCATTGGTTTCACAAGCGTTTATCAGTTAATGTTATAAAAATTATTGGAATTTATATCTGAAATGATAAAGAAGAACACACGAAGATCAATTCGAGACATGTTATGAGAGGTGTTGACTTTAAAGTAAATTTTCATCGCTATCTCGGTGCAAATAGCAATTAATGATGTCTTACTCTCAAGATACAATTACCACTCAAGGATCTTTTAATATGTACTCAAATAGAAAATCCGATGAATTCGTAAATCTCTCAACTCCTCTTGAAAGAATTTTAAAATAAAAAAAAATAAAGTTTTTAAAAATATAGAATGCTTAGAATGAATTTTTCAAAAAGAGGGGATGGGTATTTATAGATAGTGAAGCATCACCAACGTGCCTCATCATTTAATCACACCTATTTGTAAAATAAACAAGTATGTCCTTCTAAAGAGACATGCCTTCTACAACTAAAGGTCATACCTCTCTCACTAGACATATTAAATTTTGAATCACCAAAAATAAAATAGGAATTAAAAAGCCAAAATCCCCCACATGATTTGAAATTTAAGGAATACAAAAACAGTTTTTTAAAATGTATTTGTTGAAGGTGTCTTGTGGACTTGAACCTCACTTAGTATGAGAAAATCCATTCAGGCAAATCATAGTGAACTTGTGTCTTGAACTAGGACCTTCTAGCCTGAGCTTCAATTCATCATTCGTACGAGATTTAATTGAGTTCTAAATAGGTTGCATTTTACGGCCTTGCACTCATATCTTGCTTTTTGAGTGCTCTAGAGAAAAGCCCAATCTCATAGGTTACGGCGTCACAACCATACTCGAATAGGTGAGTTCTTTAAGGACATGTGTAACGGAAGCATATCCTGCATAATTTGCTACAAACTCATTCAAAGCATGTACTCTTCCTATAGCCATAAAATCACGGTGGCACTATAAAACTCTAAAAGATGGTACTTCTTCAATCACTAAACAGCTTGTTTTTACCGTATTGAAATTTCGTCTTAAGATCTCCAATCAGAAAGGTTGGGTAACCACTATTAGTAATTTCTAATTATTGGGCTCCAGTCCTATCCCTCTTAGACATTCAATAACTTGCTTTCCAAATATTCTTCGAAAAAGGAATGTAATCCAACGTCATTACTCCATGTTGAATTAAACTCATAATTATTTTCTGCCTCAAACACAATTGTCTTTTTTGCTAATTTGAGTTTTTTTGTTTACATTTCACAATAACCATTTTATTGTTATAATGAAAGTCAAGAATTGGTTTTTCATTAATTGCATTATCCATTAATAAATGTTTAAGTCATTCCGCTTGTTGTGTCATCGCCTCAAAGGCTATCATCTCAGATTCCATGGAGGATTGAGAAATACAAGCTTGCTTGGAAGATTTCCATACAACTACAGCTCCACCTAATGTGCAAACATATCTTATGGTAGCTTTAGGTTCATTTGAATCAAAGATCTAGTTTGCATTGTTGTGGCCTTCAAGCACAATAGGATAACCCGAATAGTGTATACCTAATGATATGGTACTATTTAGAAATCTTAATGTCCTTTTTAATACTGTCCAATGGCTTATATCAAGATTACTGGTATATCTACTTAACCTTCCCATTATTTTTGTTATATTAGGTCTCCTAGCATTCGAGAGACATATGAATATACCAAAATTAATTGAATTTTTCCTTAGTTTATATTCAGATCATAAGGCATACTCGCAGGTTTACAATCATATTAATTGAATTTCTTCAATATTTTCTTGATATAATGTGATTGTGTAATTATAATACCCACAGGAGTTCGTAAAATTCTAACTCCCAAAAAAACATCTACCTCTCCTAAATCTTTCGTGTCAAAGACATTCGACAAGAAATATTTAGTTTCCTTAATAATACTTAAATTGCTACCGAAGATGAGAATATCATCGACATACAAACATAATATGACACGCCTAAAGCTAGTAATTTTAATATAAACACATATATTAGAGTCATTTATCGAAAATTCATTTGACAAGATGAATTATCAAATTTCTTATGCCATTGCATTAGGGCTTACTTTAATCCATACAAGGATTTTATTAGTTTACAAACCTTATGCTCCTGACCCGGTATGACAAATTCCCCTGGTTGTTTCATATATATTTCTTCTTCTAATTCTCCATTTAGGGAGGCAATTTTAATGTCTATTTGAAGGATTTTCAACTTATATATGGATGCCAAAGTTATAAGCATTCGGATTGTCATCTTTTTGGCTAATGGAGAATAAGTGTCAAAATAATCAAATGCCACCTTTTTGGAATAATCTTTTGCAACTAATCTTGCCTTGAATTTTTTTATGAACCCAACTGGCCAAAGTTTCTTTTTAAATATCCACTTGCAACCAATAGGTTTACAGCCTTTAGGCAATTCAATCAAAATTCAAGTTTTATTATTTATTAAATACTCCATTTCAGCATTTATGGCATCTTTTCAAAAAGTAGAGTCTACAAATGATGTGGCCTTCTTGCTTTTTCAATAATCATCTTCCATTAGATAAGTATAAAAATCATTTCCAAAATTTTTGTTTACCCTCGTTGTTTTGCTCTTCTAGGACCTTCCATATTGATCATATTTTCTTCTTCTTACTATATCGAAATTGGAATGCATTCAAAAGATATTAATTTATTCACCTTAATTTTCAAGGGTAAAAGATCCTTAAAAAATACAATATCTCTCAATTCTATGATAGTGTTGACACTTATATTAATAATTTCAAATTTTATTACTAAAATTCTGTAAGTGACACTATTTTGAGAATAGCCCACAAGAACTCCATTAATGGTTTTAGGTACTAATTTCTTCCTTTTAATTTTAAGAATTTTTACTTTTGCCAAGCACTTCCACATTCTTAAATAATTTAAATTGGGTTACCTCCTTTTTCATAATTCATACGGAGTTTTGTCTAATTTCTTTTAAAGAATTCTATTTAAAATGTGACATTCAGATAAGAGTACTTTATCCCATAAATTTTTTGAGAGTTTGAAACTTGAGAGCATACAATTTACAATATCCAATAAAGTTAGATTTTTCCTCTTTACCACATCGTTTAATTGAGGTGAATAAAAGAGATATTGATGAATAATTCTATTCTCATTACAAAAGTTCGAAAACTCTATCAAATCATAATCTCCTCCCCTATTTGAATAAAGAATTCTAATTCTTTTTTCTTTTTGATTTTTAACTTCATTTTTATATGCAGTAAACATAACCAAAGCGTCATCTTTTGTTCATATTGGAAGACATAACAATATTTTTAAAAATCATCTATGAAAGTAATAAAGTATATTTTACCATTTCTAGAGTAAACTTAAATTTTACAAATATCGTTATGTATTAACTCTAAGATTGTAGATTCTGTAATTATAAATTTAAAATGCTTTTTTGGTACTTTAGACTGCACATAAATTTTACATTTTTTTCATGCATGTTTATGTTAAATTTAGGAATAAGATCCAAATTCATCATTCTTTTAATAGACGTATTATTAATATGATCTAAACGACCATGCCAAACATTAAAAGAAAGAACAACATTATGAAGAGAAAAACTATTATTACTTTCGTTACCATGACAAACAACATTCTACACATTTAACTTAAAGAGACCTTCGGATACATATCCTTTACTAACAAAAGACTCATTTCTACTAATTGCAACTTTATTGGACTCAAACAATAATTTATAGGCACTTCTAATAAGAATAGAGCCACTAATCAAATTCATTCTAATGTCAAGCACATGTTGCACTTTATGAAGAGACAAGATCTTCCCAAAAGTCAATAATATATATATGCTTCCTTCTCTTTTCACTTGTGCAACCACAGCATTGCCCATGTTCACGTATTTTCTGTCAATGACTTGATATTTTAAAAATATGAAACCAATATCAATTCACCAATCGATAGACTCACACACTAAATTGATCATAGGAATGTTTGAAACAAACCTATTGTCATTCTCACTAGTCACAACATTGACTTGTAAAATCAGTGTCTTAAACGTTTTCTGGTCTTTGTGAAGGTGACAAACTCTTGCCAGATGCCTCAGTTTTCCACAAACAAAGCAACATCTCTTTTTTTTTTCTGTTAGCACTAAATGGTTGTTTACGAAAATTATTTTTTGAAAACTTCTTTTTTTTTTCAAGTTTGAATTTTTTTCATTCTGCTATGTTTACTTTATCCTTAAACTCATTAGGCAGTTTATTCTTATCTCTATGTTTTTTTTTTTTCAATTTGAAGAGAAATAATTAAACTAATCATAATAAAAGTCTCATGTTTGCGTTTTAGCGAAGCAAAGCACCCACATGAAATTTTTCACACATTTCAATTTTTTTTTGTTTCAACTCATGAATAAGAATTTGAAAACAAGTGTGCTTGTTCCACAATAGATTTATTATCAATCATTTTGAAGTTCATATATTTTCCTATAATGTAGTTATCAAGACCTTCATCCTCTTTACCGTATTACTTTTCTAATGCTTCCCACAATTCATGTGCAGTTTTTTTAGTGCAGAAGATATTGTAAAGATTATTAGACAAAGCAGACAAAATACTTCATGACAATGATAATCCTTATCTAATTGTGTTTGTGTGCTTGTATTTTTAGTTAAGTTAGAACCAAAGTTTTGATTTAAAGGACTAACAGGATTGGAATTTTCATTTGAAGAAACAATAGGACCGGAGATAATAGTAAAAAGTCCTAAGGTTATTAACCAATAACGTATTTAATTATGCCATCTATGAAAGTTTTGCCTAGAGCATTTCTCTGATTTTGCATAAATTTGTTCTTCAATAGAAACCATTTTTTTCAAAAAAATGCAAAAAACAAATCTACTCTGAAATTGTTGGAATTTATACTACAAAGATAAAAAAGAACACATAAAGAAATAATAGAAACTTAATAGTTAATAACAAAGAGAAATAAGAAAGTGTTTTGAATGTGAAAACTGGTTTGAGGCCTGATATGGAAAGCATTGACTTCAGAGTAGATTTTTGTTGCTACCTCGGTACAAATTGCAATTGATGACATTCTGCTCGCAAGATACAACAAACCGTAAAAAGATCTTTTAATATGCACTCAAATAGAAAATCTGTCAAACTCATAAATCTCTCAACTACTCTTGAAAAAATTTTAAAATGAAGAAGAATAGAGTTTTTGAAAATGCGAAGTACTTAAAATGAATTTTTCAAAAAGAAAGAGATGGGTATTTATAAAAAGTGAAAAATCACTACCTACCTTTTCATTCAAACACACCCATTTAAGAAGTAAACAAATTTGTCCTTATAAAGGGACACGCCTTTCTACAATTAAAGGTCAACCTTTTCCAATAGGCACATTAAATTTTGAATCACCAAAAATAAAATAAGAATTAAAAAGGCAACAAGAAAATTGCCTAAAAACGTAATAAAAATATAATCTAAAAAAATTAAGTAAACAAAAAAACATAATTTTTCATATCAATTTATACACCTTATGTACATCTTGAAATAACCTCACAAAAACACTTACACCAACTCTAAACCTACCTTGACAATCTGATAGCAAAAAATAATTTAAATCATAAAAGACACAATTCACGACAATTTGACAGAAAATTCAAAAAAAAAAAAAGATTTACGGATAAACTTTGATGGATTATTTCTGTTTTCCTTTTGGTATGTCTATATTTTTATGTGTAAATAGTAGATGGTCGTAAACTTTTGAGTTTGATTGTGACATTTGTTTTTCCGCTCATTCGTGACATCTAATTTTTAATCATTAAGGATAGTGGACGAGACTTAATTCTATCAAGTTGAAATGCTTTGCTCTGTAATAAAAGTAACAAAATTTTCTTCCCTGCTACGGATCAGCCGATCAGGGATCTCTCAAGACTTGTGTTCCCAGTGAAGGGAGTTTTCCAAGGTATGCTCTTCATTTGAAAGGCATCATCGTAGCCTTCCTTCCATGAATTCTTCTCAAGTATCTTTTGTTTTGTTTTTTTAATTTACATCATCTTATAAATTAAGTTATTTGAACTGGCGTCTAGGCCTTTTCTTTTGTCGTTATTGATCATTATTTTGTTTATTTATGTTGAGCAACCAAAAAATAATATAGGGTCATCCTTTGTTTACAGGGCAACTGGTGAAGCATTATTAGTCGTTGCAAATTAAGTATAAGAAGGTTTGCAAATAAAAGCAGGGCCTCTCATGTCTTTCCCAGCAACAATAGTTGTAATTTTATACCGTTTGGTTGCTGGCGTGCATGTAATATCAAATAGTATATACATTATAAAGTGAATTTATAGTTTTAAAAGGGCAGACATTGATACCAAACTTGGGCTTTCCAGCTTCCAGGATTTAATAATCCTTTTCGTCATTACCAAAATCTTAAACCATCTTACATCTCCCAGTCTGTTCCGTATTTGTTTTACCCTGGATATACCACCCAAATTTTTATCGGCATCGATGCCCTTGGCCTTTATTTATACAAGGGGTTGTTGAATACAAATTTTTATAGTATTAGCTTTCATAATAGATGTAACGTGTTACAATATTGTATGCAAAAATCAGCAAGCCACGCAATTGAATGAATACCCAAAAATAAAATAAAATCATGGGAGAAGAAGAAAAGATGAACAGGGGAAGGTAATGGTTGTAAGCATGAGAAATCTAATCGAGACTAGGCAAACATTATGTAATCTGAAATATTGGCACGCTGGGTGGTTCCTATTCTATGATTTTTGGTTTCCGTCAAAGTCAGCCCATTCTTGAGCGAAAAACATAATTGGGAAATCCTTCCCTTGGAAAACATATTCATACTCATACATCCAGTCATACACCATCTCCAGAGGATAATTATTCTATAAATATAAAGATTGGTTACAACATCATCTAGCCATCAATTATGCAATAGAATTAGGACCTAATCTCTCTACACAACACATTTAAATTCATTTCTACTCTATTGGGTGATAAAAGCCATATGTGAAACTGATACCAAGGGACTGATTGGAGCAACACTCTTCACAACCTTAACCTGCAAGGCATATACATATGTCTATGTACAAGATGCTACCTTGAATGCATTTCCTTAGGTTTTCCAAGTATTAGCTTCCAACAAGAAACTAACCCCGCTGGTTAAAGTCCATGAAGCGAGGTTGAGGCTGTCCATTAAGAGTTTGGTTGTTGGTGGATGACTGAGGCATCTGCTGCTGTTGCTGCTGTGTGGTTTGATGGCCACTAAAGTGATGTGGGGCAGCTTGGTGGGGTAAAAATTGAGGAGGTAGTCCTCTATTGAAAGGGTTTCCATTCATAGCTGACATTTGACCAGCTTGTATCTTAAGTCGTTGCACTTCTTCCCTCAATGCATCATTCAAAGCTGCAAACCATAGACAAATAAATAAATACACCATAACTCTGAAGCATAATTTGTTAACTATCTGGACCTATTTGATGACCTAGTATGAATTAGTTACATTAAGAACAATATTATGACATTATCCATAGGGCATCTGAAAACCATATGGAAACAAAACCGTGGCATATCCTTCTCCATGCCATATTAATTAAGTCCTTTTTTGAACACCTCTAAATATACAATTTAACTGCACCAAATTATTTTACATGCCATATTAACTAGGTCCTTTTCTGTACACTTTTAAATTTATTATTTAAGTCATAAAATTATGAAGTGCGCATTAGGTCCACTTGATGCAATCACTTAACTGAAAATTGGCACGGGTCTGTTAGTTTTACCAACACAATCATAACTGATGAATGACTATGAAAATGCGATCACTTAATTATGATGCTTCCAGCCACCACTAGTAAAATTGCAGCATATAGTTCAAAAATGTGCAAAACATGCATACCATCTCTAAGCTGTGCTTGTTGCTCCATAGCCTGAAGCCGTAGTTTGAGTTCCTTATTCTCAGCAGTCAACCCAGTAGTATCTCTCTGCATCATAAGAAAAAAAAGTTAGAATTGGTTCCCTTCCTTCAATGAGGGTGCATTAAAACAAATATTAGAACCTTAAAGATGCAAATCATGTGCTTTCCGCGTTAGCATCTGCAGCACAAGTAAATTGATAGGACTCTAGAAATACATTCATACAATTAGGAGCATGACATTGACAACTAAGCAATCCCAGTGAGAAGCACGTCAGATAAATTGTGCAAACTGGACAAAGCAAAAAGGCAAAAAGGCAAAGCAAGGAACCTGCATGACTAACCCATCATCAAACCATCATACAACAATTTAGACGTAGACATGAAAAATGTACACATGCATGCTTTCATGTTTAAAATAGCAGTTTCACTAGATTAATCTTTTGTCTGTAGAACTTCGTATGTAACATATGAGGGACAAAAAGAAAACCCATTAAAGGATCAAATTACTAAGGATTTTATAATAAAATCAATTGTAACATTTATATCTTCAGCATATTTTTGGGTTATTTAGGTTAATTTATCTTGTTTACAAAGTATCACAGATTGGGGAGTAGCTTACAGATACCTATCTCATTTCAGTTTCTAGTAGGTTAGGGTCATTGAGATTTCAACCTAGCTCTCTCTTTTCCTTCTGTCGTTTCTAGATTTCTGAGTTTCCTCTGTTTCTTTCTTTTCCTTTTTTCCTCCTCTGATTTCCCTCTACATCAGTAACCGAACAGATATGCAATCTAATAGGAAACCACATTGATGCTTGCTAACAACCAGTAACATATGAAAAAGAAAGCAGAGATTTCCAATACATGTGTGGAAGAAACTTTCAAGGTTAAAACATAGTTAACCTAACCAGATCAGATGCCATTCAAAGAAACAAAAAACAGATCAGACAATGGCATATTCAAAGTGTCGAGTACCAAGTCACTGGTTTAGCCATTGGGTCATTTCGGTCAATAAAAATATTTTAAGAAATTATAAATACTTTAAATAAGTTATGTCCTAAGTTAAAAGCTTGAACAAGAGCACACACATAGAAATATGACATATCAGTTCATCATCTATAAGAATGAAACAAGCATTAGCCTATGGATTCAATATAAGTGTGTAGTTTAATATGACATATCAGTTCATCATCTATAAGAATGAAACAAGCATTAGACTATGGATTCAATATAAGCATTTAGTTTAATTTTTGGCTTGAACCATGTACCAAAAATATCAAAAGGTGCAAAACTAATTTTCTACCATGAAACTAATTTACAATTACAACAATCCCTCCAATTTATAATTGTAAAGCGAGCCGAAAGCTTGAAACTAAGTACTTTACTGTAAAAAATCAATTTACGATGATAAATTTTACTAAAATCCCACGAAAGTGAACTGAAACTAACAATCATTATTAAAAAAAAACAATTTATATATACAATGACTAATTTTCATTAAAATCCCATCAATTTGTAAATAAATCCTCACTAAGAACATAAAAACCAAGATGAGAATTCTCAAAAAACCAAAGAAGAAAAGCATAAATAAAAAAACTCAAGAACTAATAAAAGTTGTGACTTGAAGGATACAACTTCAATGCAACCCACACTTTGCGAATTTTGGTCATCCAAAATAGTCTCTTGTATTGAATTGATCTTTGATGTGCCAGGAGGAGGAAGAAGAACGGGGTTAGTTTTTTTGAACTTGTGCAGAAGTGCAGTACATCATTTCTCAGTTTTCTTAGTTTTTAGGTTTTTAGTTTTTAGTATTTTAGCTTTCCCCTTTTTAAAACTTTGTAACTTGTATTTTGGTTATTGAAAATTTAAATTAAATTATTTGGATTAAAATGACAAAACAACCCATAGATTTTATTGCAAGCTAAATTAATCATGGTTTTAAGATCATTTTATCAAATGTGTCAAACCCAGTTCAGTAAAAGTAGTCCAGTTCATCAATTTTCTTATTAACTCACCAAGTCAAAGCTGTTCTATACGGGGTTAACTGCAAAAATGATCGAATAGAAAAATCAAATTGGTTCTAACACCAGGTTACCAGTGACCATTGGTCCAATCCGATTCTGATAACTATATGGAAAACACGTTCTAACACTCTTGAGGTGGATTCGTGCCATATTAAATGCTGGGAAAAGTTACCTCTATGCACTTTCTTTAATCATGCCGAGGAATCAGGGGAGGACATAATCCTCCTTTTTGGCATAGCTTTTTAACTGTTCCATATCAAACCTTCTTTCATTCTGCTACTACCATAAGCCATTCCTATACCTAGAAAAATGACAATTCCGTTATAACTAAGGGCAGTTGGGTTGGTCAATTTCAGCCCATGAACTCTCTAAAAGGGTGTTTGAGGATTTGTTTAACATATTATAAATAAGCTGCTAGATAACTATTACTTTTGAGTTCTCCAAATAGTCAATAATAGCTTCAAGAACCTAATATTCAATTGAGAAATAAGTATAATATTACCATCTAATTATCCTTTGACTATTCCGTATGTGGAATGCGAATGCATTTCATTACATGAATGAAGATGTATATTCTGCAAATCAAATATTTCAGACTTAATTCCTCTTTTGCTCTAGGGCTTGACCAAGGAAAAAGTCCATTCCTCCACCTTCTTCTTCTTGTGAAAGTCTGACTTTCCCTTTGTAGATATTCCTGCTGATCTGCCTCCCAATGAGTACATCAAACTCATGGATCTTGCAGGAAGTATTCCAGGATGGTTGATTTTTTATGGATAAAATAAAAACTGTACAGTTTATGTTGGCTTTCAGGTGAATCTAGTACAAGGGATATTCTGATTACTTTGATCCATTTTACCTCTGGTTGTTTTAGCCCGTAGTTATCAAAACTGGTCCAGACCAACGATCGAGCCGTTTGAACTGATGACCCAATGCTATAACCAGTTCAATTCTACTTTTACATCATCTTTGCGATTAACTTGTATAGAACTGCTTTTACTCGGCTAGTTAATAAGAAAACTGATAAACCAGATGTGTTTGACATATATTAATAAAATGAATTTATAATCATAATTGATTTAGCTTTTCAATAAAATTTTTGGGTCTTGTCATTTAACTAAAATAATTGATTAAAAAATTTTAATAACTAAAAAACAAGGTAAACTTTTTTTTTAAAAAATGCTGAAAAACTAAAAACTAAAAACTAAGAAATATCAGAAAAGATCTGTTGCACCTCTGCACAACTTGAAATAACCCTAACCCCTTTCTTCTTCCTCCTTCTACAGGAGCCTCCAAGATCACTTCAAGACGAGGCACCTTTTCTGAGGGCCAAAACTCACAAATTCTGGTTTGTAATGAAACTGTATCCTTCAAGTACCAACTTTTATTAGCTTTTGAGTTGGGTCTTTGAAGTTTGAACGTTTTTTTTTCTTCTCCTTTTTTTTTTCTGTGTTTTATTTTCTTTGGTTTTCTATAATTTCCATCTTTATTTTTTATGTTCTTTAGTGAAATTTAGTTATAAATTGGTGGAATTTTAATGAATATTATCATTGTACATGTAAATTGTTTGTTTTAATAATGACTGTTAGTTCACTTCACTTTACAACTATAAATTGGTGGAATTTTAACGAAATTTATCATTATAAACTAATTTTTTATAATAAAGCACTTAGTTTTAGGCTTTCCGCTCGCTCTACATTTATAAATTGGTGGGATTATCATAATTGTAAATTAGTTCCAAGGTAGAAAATTAGTTTTGCAACTTGATATTTATGGCACATGGTTCAAGATGAAACTAAACTACATACTTATTTAATGTTAAACTAAAGCCTGTTTCATTCTTATAGACAAACTGATATATCATCATTCTATATGTGTGCTTTTTCAAGCTTTTCACTAGTAATATAATTTATTTAAAGTATTTAAAGTATTTATAATTTTTAAAATATTTTAATTGACCTAACAATTGACCCAAATGACCCAGCGGTTGAACCACTGACCCAACACCTTAAACAGTTCATTTGTCTAGACCAGTTTTGATAACTATCATGTTCCACCTATATATGCTACAAATGCACATTAAAAGCAGTAATAATCGTCCAAAACTGTAGTCAGATTTTATTACTAGACACAATGGCTCCCTTGCCTCGCATAACGCACCTATGTTACTTGGTTCTTATTTCCCTATCGAGCACATGGGTTTAAAGTAGTCTTAGGCATCATGAATCAGCGATTTGGCCCTCGAACTTCTAAGTATAAGGAAAAAACTCTTAAAACTAGAATTCACCAATGTCAGACACATCCCATGTCCACCATTAGAATCTAAATCCAAGCAACATAAGCATACACCCTCTAACAGCAAAAAGTGGTGGATATCATGAGCTCAATTCAAATTGCAAGAGTATAGTAAGTATGTTACGATATAAGCCAAACTGATCGGTTGAGATGTACAAATCTAAGCATGACAAATGATTCCTAAGGAATGAAGATAGAAAAGGTCAAGAGAAGTACAATGTCAACAACAAATATCCAAAACTTTCAATGTTGCTATCATAATGCCTCAAAGTTTTTATGACACATAGAATTCAGTATGCATACCCATTTTTTCCCATTTTCTTCAAGGATTGATCAATAAATGTTATACAAGGTAATTAAGTGTCTCAACAACACAGTTAGCAATGCAAGAGACACAATGAAAACTCTAAAAAAGTAGCAAAAGTGGCTAAAAATTCAGGCAATAATTAATTAGACTAGAAAAGAAGCAAAACAAGGCCTTCATAACATTTAAAATTTCTTCCAATGAAGAGAACTCTATGAATCTATAGAACAAATAAGTATTATGGAAGTTGAAAACAATCTCAAAAAGATTTTCCTCTCAAATTCAAGTTGTTTTGAGAGGTTTCCTTTCCCCTCAAGGAAGAAATGAAAACTACAGCTTATTATAGAACTAATAGTTTTTCAAAATAGTAGTAAATTAAATAAATCCCCAAAAAAAATTGGTAGAGTCTCAACAATTGTTCCAATGATCACATAATAGATTAACCTATAGATGAATATGCAAGCATGTGTTTCATGCTTAAATATATTGTGTGTGTGTGTGTGTGTGTGCGTGTGTGTATGTGATAATATATATTATATGTTATATAAAATCACAGTCGGTAGCTAGACGCAGTTATAATTATAATCAATCAAAGAAGAGCAGTCTTTGACTTTGGACATTGGAAAACCGTATGTATATGATTGAGACATTATTTTAACAGGGAAAATAACAAAAGAAAAAACCCATCTTAATACACGAACCTGAAAAGTTCATGTTCTAGAAAGGAGCAAAGGATCACAATTTTGAGGAGTCAAGCTAAACCAAAAACGGCATAAGGGGCATTTACCTGCAACATTGTGACCTGCGCGGAGAGATTGGTAGCTTCTGTCTGAAGAGTCTGCACTTTCCTCTCCAGCTCATTCGTGTATCGAATCTTCCTCTCCTTTGAACGCGCAGCCGATTGCCTGTTAGCCAGAATCCTACAACCCAAAACGGACTTCATTTAGTAACTGCACCAACTAATTACATTCATAAAACAACATATTTTCTACTATTTTTTGAATTAGAGTAATTCAAATAAAGTAATTACTACTATATTACAATCTTACAAACAAAAAGGCAAAACAAAAAAAAAAGAAGAAATTAAAAATAAATTTTTTAAAAAAAATCGAGGGGTGGGTTCACCAAAGAGGCAAAACAGAAGCTTATCTCTGGTAAATTACAAATCAAACTAAAAAGTCTAACGAAAACAAGAAGATAAGAAAAAAAAATCATATAATCGTGGAAAAAATTTCCACTTAATTTAATTAAAAGAAAAGAACTAGCACTACTAAAAAGAGAGGGGTACCTTTTAGCTCTCTTGGGATCAATAAGGGCAAGCTCAGCAAGTCTATCAGGAGCCATGGCCTTCTTAATACCGTCAACGGCCATCAAAGACTCAATCTCAAACGACGCCGTAGTCGACCCATCCATCGAATTACTATGTCTATGATGAACCCTTTTCTCTCCCACCCCTCCTTTCCCGCCAAATTTCTCATCTCCAGCTCCTCCGGAAATCGCGGGGCCAGTCAACCCAAGTCCGTCGAAGAAATCAGAGTCAACAGAAAGGCTACGGAGGTGGGAAGAGATATGCCTAGGATTACTGTGGGAGGAGCGAGGAGGGCCGTTGGATGAGGAGTCGTCGGAGGAATCGGCGGGGACGGGGATTACAGGTGGCGGAGCGGGATTGGAGGAGGAAGCCGGGAGGTCTAGGGAGGTAAGATCGAGGTCGGAAGGGTCGAAGAGGAGAAGATCGTCGAAACGGAAAGTTGTGTCGGAGTGGGCCCGCCTGTGGTGAGCTCCGCGTGGAGGCATTTGGTCTATCTCAACTGTCAGTTTTTGCTCCATCTCTTTTGACAAATAGGCGGAGGATACGGCGGCGGCTGTGGCGCTGTTTGCTGGAGTAGATTTATATTATGAGATGACTAAAAGAGGTTAAAAATATAAGTGAGTTGGGAGCATGGGGCGGAGAAGTGGGTTTTGGTCGACAAAGATATGTTATGCGTACAGACGGGGGTGTTGAACTTATTTCTTTTAATTTTTTCTTTTATTCTTTTCATTTCTCTTTTCAAAAAAAATTATATGCCTCTTTGACATTCACTTAAATTTCCTATCTTTGGTTAATTTTTAGGACTATTTAATGAAATAACTTTTTCTAAAAAGTCGTTTTTCTGAGAAAAAAACTTCAAAAAAAATCAAGGAGTTTATAATGTTTAGTGTACCTATGTAATTTTTACCAAGAAATAATTAGCAATAATTAAAAGTATTCCTAAAAATTTTGAGATTTTGGATTCCAAAGTGTGTAAATGTCTACATTAGTATTTTTCTTGTCTGAAGAAAACATAAATTTAGGGAGACAAAAAGAAACTACGGAAAGAAAAGGTGGCATGATGGGGTGTAGTGCAGTGGAGTTATTCTTGGACTTTTTTACATCTGTTTTCTTGTCAATTGTCATTGCTCTTGAAATTTCTGTCTTTTAGATATAAAATATAAATTAAAAAAAAAAGAGGAAAAAGCAGCTACTATAATTAACAGCACAGAGATTCTAAAAGATAACACAACAAAGAAAAAAACAATAATAGGAAGGCAGGTGACGGTGTACTTGAAAAGAACCACCACGATTATTAAAATGAATACTAATGATTATTTTAATTATAAAAATAATAATAATGTTAATGTTTGTTTGTCTCAGCTCTGGGTGGGGTCCCAAATGGAACTTAAGCAAACCACCATGTGGCAGTTGGGCTCTGCCTTACCTTATCGAATGTCGATCACGAGCGTGTTATCCACGAGCGTTGGAGACTGAGTATCCATTTTTTGTTTTGCTTTTTAATTCCTAAAAAACTTCAAAATACATTAAGTTATTACGATAAATTATTTTATATGACACATTTAAATATTTAATTTATTAATTAGTATAAGATATTTTTATTTAAAAAAGATAATTTAAATTTTTTTTAACTTTAAAAAAAATAATGTAGGTAAGTATCAAGGTCATATCATTATCAATATCACAATTGACAATATTAACAATCAACAATCCATTATAAATCTGTTAAGGATTAAACAAATTCAAAATTTATCCTTAACCCAAAAACCATTACAAAATCAAAGTCTTAAAACTCTATAATAGTCGACAAGTCGCAATATCCTAAGTTGTTTATTTCTTTTGCTTTCAATTTTCAAAGATTGATAAGAATCTAACACTATCTTAAAAATTAGGTAAGCAAATATAAGCCTTTGGTTTTTTTTTTTAATTTAGAAAAATGAGACTCAAACTCTGTTTTTTAAGTAAGATACCCGGGTACAAATATGAACCTTTGGTTGTATAAAATTGGGAACAAAATTTGGCGCTAGACCTGCCTTTCAACCCAAAATGTTAACACAACACCACTACCTTTGTTGCTTCACCAAAGGTATAATTTATCAGTACATCTAAATTGATAAACAACTAACAATAATATTCAAGACAAACCGTTCTAACAAAACAGTCCTAATGATTTTGGTCAGAATTCACAATAAATACAATCAAAAAATCCTTCTTCAAATTAATGAGTCCAATTAAGGATTTAAATCTTGGTACTGATAAATATATTCAGAGTCAAGACTCCGATAAATGCGCATATATATATTTATAAAAATTGTTATTTTAAGAAATTTCTTATATATTTTAATACTTCTATCGTGCTAGTGAAGGTTTAATATGTTTTCAAGGACAGAAGAGCAGAATTTTTTTTAATATGAAAGTGATCATGCAGTTTCACATTGACAAATTAAAATTAAAATTAAAACTAATTGCAGGAATTTATTAATTTAAAATCGCGTTAAAAACAATGATCAAGTCCTCAAATTTCAATTTTAGTTTTATTCTTCTAATTATTGGTGGTTGAAGACTTTGTAGAAGCAATTCTAATTAAAATTCTCAAGTTTTGCCATCCCTAGGTTGATACAATTTTATGTTAACTTTTTTTTTCATAGTTATTTTTAGGAAATGGTAAATTTCATTACTCAACACCCAAAAAGTACAATATAATCAGTACATACATATATTTATAGCCTTTTATATTGTAATTTGCTGTGACATAAAAGAGTCTTATTAAAAACCTTTTCATGGAAAAACCTATTGAGATAAAAACCATGATAAGAAAAAAAAAGTACCCTTAACATGTCCTTTTATCCTTTAGCACAGATAACCCACTATAAAGTAAGTCTATTCACCTCCAATCAGTGGCGTATCCAAAATTTTGTATTAGGGATGACTAAAAACTAATCATATAAGTTCATGGAATGAGAATATGAATTGGATTAATGATTCGATTTGGAATAAAAAATGAATCACTTTTGAAATAAAATTAAATTATAATATAAATATTTATTAAAAATTAATCACTTTTGAAATAAAATTAAATTATAACATAAAATTTTATTAATAATTTAAATATAAGTTTTCAAATCCACCAATATAAATAGACATAAAGAAGAAAAAAATTACTATTAGATTTCCACATTAGGCATCGAAATAGATCTAAAACAAAATGAAAAATTAACATTAGATTTTCATATTAAGCATTGTAAGTTGTGCTTGATGTACTTTTATGTTTTCAAATTCATGGATGACTAAAAAAGAATAAAAAGTTTTAGTATAAATATAAAGGAGAAGAAAAAAAGCAAAAGGGCAAAAAGAAAAAAAAAGGAGGATTTAGTATTCTTATAAAAGAGAAAAAAAGAAAAAGAGAAAAGAAGGATAAAAAGAGAAGAAAGAAAAGAAAAACAGGGTTTAGTACACTTATAGCATAATATTAAAAAAAAACTGTTAAACTACTTTTATTGTATTTAATCAATTTTTTATATTTTTATTTTGAGCTAAATAAGTTTTTTATTTTTATTTTGAGTCAAATAAATCTTTATTACTAATGATTAACCTAGTCAAAATTTCATTTATTATTTTATGTTGGGGGACATTGAAGTGGTATACTAACATATCATAATTGATGATGATGTAGTAAGTTGACATATCATAACTGATAATTACATGATATACTAATTTGTTATAATAACATGACCATATGGTATTTTTTACCATCTACCTCAACATCATGTTAATGTCATGTGAATATAAAGTGATAAGTGACATTTTGATTAAGGACAATTTGTCAATCATTAGATATAAAGGCTTATTTGACTCAAAATAAAAATATAGAAACTTAATTGAACGCAATAAAAGAATAAGAGCTTCTTTGATTATTCTCAAATAATTTAGGGACTTATTTAAACATTATACATATACTTAAAAAGAAAAAAAATAATTCTAAAATTTGAACCTAAAAATTAACTTAAATTTCTTACCACTACTCCAGACAAAATCATTTACTTTGTGTAGAGGTGACAAAGTTACATATTATGAATTTTATACACATAAAAATAAAAAAACTTAAAAATTAACCGTCACCCCTCTCCCCCCGCCTAGCCTCCAATGCTCTTTGTAGAGTGCCTAGCAGAGGAGAAACATCCCTCCATGTAATACGGTTCACCCCTAGATCATTGGGAGACGTTGCCAATTCATGTTCAACCATGTTTGCTTCCTTTGGACAAAATTCAATGAAGAAGCATCCAAGCTGTCCAATGACCATTTTTTGTTCATAGTTATAAGTTGGTAGATTGCATTGTTTGTTTGTTGGTTTTTCGATTTAATGCAATAATCATGCAAAATGGGATTATTTGATTGAAATAATAATTTTTATTTAGAGTTAAATATAAAAAGTTCTGCTCCTCTTTTTTCCTTTAGAAAAATAAAAAGAAAAAACACCACTTATATAATTATGAAATGATTGCCAAATTTGTCTTTGAAATTAAATGTAATCAAAGATTTGTCAAAATTAATATACAAAATCTATTGAAAGGTAAGTATAGCGGCACGATAAGAGATAATTATTATGCACATGTTCAATTGACAGTGAGATGATTGTGTTTAAGCCAACATCAGAATCCATTATCAAAGTGAAATAGTTGATTGCTTAGACGAGTTTATGGACTATCTCCTTCTTTAAATTTCCACCCATCATCTTCTCCCAATTCCAAAAATATTGAATATAACTATAGAAGAACCCTTCATCTTCATCTTTATCTTCTTTAAATTTTGGGTTTCATGTGTTTTGAATGGACCTTTGATTGAGTTAAAATCTTGTTCTCGAATCACTTTTAGTCGGATTGTTGGCCTTGTAGTATTAGAGTTTAGCTTTCCTCATGAGCTTTCACTTTTAAACAAAAACTTGTACTTGACTCAAGTAGTTGGATGAGTTAGAGCTTGAAAATAAATATTAGATATGAGTTGTTGGGATCCTATGTTAAGAAGGAAATAGTTCATGAATTAAACCATCTGATAATGAGGGTGCATGAACAATAACAAGATGTGTCACTCTCATAATTCAAGGAGCTACAATGTCTTCGATTAAGAGATAAGTACATTCTTACCTAAAAACAAAAATTTTGGAATTGATTGCCAGCATATAATCCAAATTATTCTATAAAAAAGTGCACTTATTTAATTAGGTGATGAGTATATTTATGTTTTCATTCACTTTTTAAAATGCATATAAAATAGTGTTTTAAATTATATAGTGCTTAAATCATAAATAAGTAAACTTATTTAGTATTTTTATATTTTTAGTTTATGAATGATTAAGTAATAATATCAACACTCAAGTATTTAGTTCCACAATTGATTCATAATCTCTCTACTAGAAAAATAAGGTTTGAATCTCCTCTTTCTCTAAATCAAAATAAATAAATAATATCAAATAAAAATGTATAGTTCTTTTTGAAATTTTCTTAAGAGTAATAATTCAATATGTATTATAATTCTCCCTCCTTGTAAGTTAATTTCAATTTGTTCATTTTGATAAAAGAAAGTAAAAAATAATTAATTATTGAATCTTCCCAAACCATAATAATTAAAATAAGAAGTAAAATGAAATTACGAATTCATAGTCAAATATCAATTACATTAAAAATTAT